TCCAGACTAAGACAGACTCAGGAGAAGGAAGGAGCCATCCACTTCTCAAAGAATTGGCCAGTGAAAAACTTATGAATGCATGAAACACTGTCTGATATTACCTTCCCCCCCTGGTAACCATCAAAGAATATTTCTTTTTGTGTGAAAACCTTTTATTGACTTCTTACAAAAGGAGTCTCAAACAGTATTTGCCCTTTTGTGATTGACTAATTTCACTCAGCATAATGTCCTGTAGATTCATCCATGTTATGAGATGTTTCAAGATTCCTCATTGTTCTTTAACATTGTGTACCATAGTGCATATGTACCATAATTTGTTTACCCATTGATGGATATTTAGGTTGTTTCCATCTTTCTGCTGTTATGAATAGTTCTTCAATGAACATGGGTGTGTATGTGTGTATATATCTATTTACAAACACTAGCACGGTTTTTCTTTTAGATACTTTTTGCATTCTCTTCCCACTCAATTGCCTATCCTTTCTTACTCCTGTCTGCTTCACTCTTTTTTCTTTATAAACAAACTGCCCCTTTCCTAACAAATATTTCTGCCCTCTCTCCTCTATCACCATGATAAACAATGCATGATAATAATAATAATAACTCAAACTTATTGCTGTGGAGTCAATTCTGACTCAAAGTGACCCTTTAGCACAGAGTAGAACTGCCCCATAGAGTTTCCGAAGCAGACTGCCACATCTCTCCCACAGAGTGGCTGGTAAGTTCGAACCACCAACCTTTTGGCTGCAAGTGCTACCAGGGCTCCCCAACACTACAAATGACAGGAATTTCTTCATGGGAAAGCATGGAATGATAGCTAATCTTTATTGAGTTCTTGCTTGGTGCCAGCTGCTGCTCTCAGCACTTCCCATGGATTAACTGTTCAGTCATAACATGAGGTGCTCTGTGTTGTAGAACCAAGCCTTGGGGGGCAACTTTGCAACCAGTCTTTAAAGCGTATAGGAGTCCTGGTGGCACAGTGGTTAAGTACTCAACTGCGAACTGAAAGGTTGGCACTTTGTGAATACAGCAGCTACTCTGTGGAAGAAAGATGTGTCAAGTCTGCTTCCATAAACCTTACAGCTTTGAAAATTCTGTGAGGCAGTTCTGTACAATCCGATAAGGTCACTATGAATCAGAATTGACTCCGTGGCAGTGGGTTTGGGTTTGGACTAAACTACTTGTCCAGTGAGAAATGGAATCAGTACTGTGTGGTCTTTACTAATGATCATGGTTTTGGCAAAGGTTTATTCTGTCTGCTCTAGAAATTTTGGTGAACACAGTGATTCTTAGCTATGACCTGATAGAGCATGATATTACCCAGGTTAAATTGACATTTTGCCACAAAACTCAAATGATGATTGCCTTTTCCTACTTTGGTGAAGTACTTAAATCAGTGGTTAGAATCTTCTCTGTGTGTGTGTGTGTGTGTGTGCGTTTATTTTATATCAAGAATATTAAGGTTATTTCCATTTTTTTCAGCAAATTGGGCAATTGATATGAGGGCGTATATAGAAGTTGAATTATCTTATTAATACTCATTTACTCTGGGCTGCTTATACTTGCTAAAAAAATGAATATTAATAACATAACCAAAATGACTGTTCATGGTTAGATTAATTGCCTCTTGTTGTTATTGTGTCTTATGAATACTTGCTAATGGCTTTATAATGCAGTGCTTGCCAACCCTTTTCATGATAGAGCATATGTATACAATAATAATATTTATGCAGCATGCTAGAATAAATGGCTCAGGGGCTTGGCTGCCTAAGAACGGAGAGGATCAATACTGCCTCCTACCTGTACCTATTCAGGGTACACTTGTTTTCTCTGTGTGTAGTCTGGGAAGCTGCCTTATGGTATATCACAGAAATTATATTGTCCTGTTGTCTAAGTTATGTAGTTCTACTATAACAAAAATATCAGGTGGATGGCTTTAGGAAATAGTAATAAATTCTGTCACTGTTCAGGAGGCTAGAAGTCCAAATTCAGGGCACCAGCTACAGGAGAAGGCTTTCTCTCTGTGCAAGCTCGGGGGGAAGGTCCTTGTCATCAATCTTCCCCTAGGAGTTTCTCAGCACAGGGACCTTGGGTCCAAAAGACACACTCTGCTTCTGGCTTGCTTTCTTGGTGATAGGAGATCCATCTGATCTCAGTTTACTAGTTTAATCTCTGATATCTCAAAAGACATTGACTCAAGATACAACCTAATCCTGCAGCTTCTATCCTGCCTCATTAACATCATAGAGGTTAGAATTTACAACATATAGGATAATTACATCAGATCACAAAATGGAGGATAATTACATAATACTGGGAATCATGGCCTAGCCAAGTTGACACATGTTTTAGGGGGACACAATTCAATCCATAATATTCTACCTTTTGGCTCCCAAAAATTCATGTCCTTGCCATATGTAAAACACATTCACCCTATCCTATCATCCCAAAAGTATTAAATCAATTCTAAGTCTGAAATCTCCTGGAGCAAAATTCCTCTTCATCTGTGTATCTAGCATACAAGTTATCTGCTTCCAAGGTACAATGGTAGAATATGCACAAGTTAGACATTTCCATTACCAATGGGAGAAATTGGAGGGAAAGAAGCAATAATGACCACCAAGCAACTCAAAAACCAGCAGAATATTTACATTAGCTATTGAGACTTGAAAATAATCCTCTCTTCTCTGAGACCACCTAGGCAATGGCCCTGTCCTCCAGACTGGGTGGTGGCTACACTCTGGGCTTCAGTTCTGTCTTCCAGCCCCACTGGGGTGGCAACTCTGCTTCCTCAGCTTTGGGCGGCCCCATTCTCCAAGTCCAACTGAGTAGCAGCCTCAGCTCCTTGGTCCTGGCAGGCCCCATTCTTCTGCCCCTTGGGCATGGCAGCAAGCCCCCTTCCCTGCCCCCACTCAGCTTTGGGCAGCAGATTTGACCCCATCCCCTTGGCACTTGTGAATGGCAGCCCCATATACCAGAATCGAGTTGGTGAGATCTGTTGCTTTGAAACATAAGAGGCCATGGCCCCACCTTTTGAAACCCAACAGGCCTTGGATTGACTGTTTGAGACTCCAGAGGTTGTGGCCCTACCCTTTGAGACTGAGGCAGTTCTGCTTCCCAAGCTCCTTGTCTCTACCTGGTTCCTGGGCCTCTCATCTCCTTATCTCCTTGGGCCTCTTAGGCTGGCCTGGCCTGCTTTGATAATTACATCAGATCACAAAACAGAGGATAATTACATGATACTAAGAATCATAGCCTAACCAGTATTGGGCATGTTTGTTGAGGGGACACAATTCAATCCATACCTGTGTTCTGCTAGTAACATTGATTCCTATATCTTACAATGCTATTGACTATTTCACTAGTCATCAATGTTCTCTGTTTCTGTCTACAAAAGAGCACTGTTCCCTCCAGCTATTCCCCTTCTTGAGGTTTGAGAGCCACTAAGAGATACAGGGGAGCTCTGGTAGCATAGTGCCTAAGCCATTTGACTGCTAACCTGAAGGCTGGCAGTTCAAATCCACCACCCACTCCTCAGAAGGAAGATTGGGCAATCTACTTCCGTAGTGATGCCACCTCGGAAACCCAAGGAGGGGTCACTATGAGTAAGATACGAATTGATGGCAGTGAGTTTTTGTTTTGGTTTTGGTTTTGGTTTAGGAGATGCAGTATCTAAGTTTATGCACTTGTCCCAAGAGAGTGTCCAATCACTCTGATGCTTCTTGGCTTTTCTAGTTTGATTAATTGCTGGCTCGCAGACTGCTCCAAATTCTCTGTTTTTGAAGCATGGCCATTAAATCTCACAGAGAGATCATTTTTATGGTACTCAATAGGAAGGGCTTGTATAAGAAATGAAAAGAAGAGAATAAATTCCATAGGGTCTGTGTTAGGTGAACAACTTAAGTCTCCTCTCTTTAAGTTTCTTTCTAGTTAAGCAGCTAAGTGCTTAACCACTGCATCACCAGAGCTCCTTCCAACTAACTTCTTGTGAGCCCTTGATGTAGAGCTCAGTGTCCTTAGGGGTCAGAGGAAGAAGAGACTTCAGGCTGTAAATTCTTTCTACAATTCTGAAAGCTCCTGGCTCTGCCTGAGCTGGTTTGCTTCTTAATACCAGAGCCTGTAGCTATCAGTTGACTGTGCTCCTTCCTTCTCACACACTCATTTCATTCTTCTACTCTCAAAGGCCAAGGAAGATACTGGGAGGAGTACAAGAATTAAAAGCCACAGAGGTAAATGCTATTATATACACAGTCCTGCAATAACAGTAATAACAATAATCTATGAGTGGATACATACATAGACATGCAAGCTAAATAGGAAAATAAATAAATAAATAAAAGTACCCTTCCTCCACTCCTAGAATGTAATCAGAATATTAGAACTGTAATATGCCTAATTAAGTTAATAATAATAATAAGGACTGAATCTTGGAACTCACAAAACCTAAGTTTGAGTCTCAACACTACCACTTATCCAGCTAAAAAGGCAAGTTCAGTTAATCTAAATCTTCTCTATAAAGTGGGGCTAATTATACTTACCTTTTACCTGTTGCCATTGAGTCGATTCCGACTCTTGGTGACCTCACCTATAGAGTAGAAGTGCACTCTAGAGTTTTCAATGGCTGTAACCTTACAGAAGTAGATCACCAGGCCTTTCTTTAACAGCCCCTCTGGGTTGATTTGAACTATAAGCTTTTTGGTAGTAGCTGAATGCAAACGATTTGTAGCACCCAGGTACCTCAGGGCTAATGATGTTGTGATACTTGCCGCATTTCCTTCCAGAGTTGATCTGAAGATCAAATCAAAGATCTCATGTATGAAAATACATAATAATAAGTTCTAAAAGTGAAAGGTTAATAAAATGTATTGTATTGAAAGCATCCAATTAGTTCTCAAGTCTAGTACCAGTTGCTTGTAAGAATTTCAGTATTAAGCGTGTGGCTCCTGTGATGACAAAATTAGCATGTGCTCTTCCTATTTATTCCCTCCCTCATCCTGCAGAGTAACCTGATCCACTACCTGGGCCTAAGCCATCATCTGCTCGCCCTGAATTTTATCATCGTTTCTTTCGGCAAGAAAAGTGCACGGTCGTCTGCTCAGGTGAAGGTGACTGACACTGACTTTGATGGTGTGGAAGTCAGAGTGTTTGAAGGCTCTCCAAAGCCAGAAGAGCCACTGAGACGCAGCGTTATTTACATACACGGAGGAGGCTGGGCCTTGGCAAGTGCAAGTACGTCTGGTCACCTTCACATTATTTGCGATTGCGACTGGCCCTGAGGGTGATTTATGATTGTATTGGCTCTCTTCTTGGGTAAGGAGTGGGGGACCAATTGTCTCAACTTCCCTTGACAGTCCCAGTTATTCCTGTTGTCCTATCAAAATTATTGATAATTTCCTCTTTTCACACTCAAAAATATCCTCTTGGTTTGAATGATAAGTTTTATGGTTACCCTCGGTAAAAGTTTTTATTTATTTAGTTAGTCAATTAGACTATTTTGAAAATACTTCCTGTGACCTAAGTCAGAGGCTAGTTTATTTCAAAGCACTGCTAATTGCTTTCTTCACCAAAACAAGGTGAAGTTTCACTGTGCCAGTATATGGGAATTATCTGTGACTCTTTTGTCAGCTTATATTTTGAGGACATCTTTCTGTAAAATAGAACAAGCTATTTCTGAATACATCAACATTTTATCTGCTTATAAAACCAAAGATTAATATATAAAAGGTACATATTTAAACTTTAAAAAGAAATGGTCTTGCAAATTTCAAGAATATTCTTTGCAGTGCTGGATAACTTTCATGACCGAACACATTCAAAATGGCAGGCAGACAGGTGGAGCAGCCCAGGAGAAAGCAGTTTCCCAAGAGGAAGTAAAGATCTCATCTCTGCTCCTATCTATCATAAAGCTACTTCCTCATCTTCAACCCAGAGCTTTTGGCACCCCTTAAGTTTAAAATGCAATAGCAACTTATTTTCATTGTTAATTAATTCAATGATTTTTTTTAATGCAGCAAAGGTCAAAAAGTATAACCTTTTCTAATTTTCATATTCACCATGTACAAATGTCACCTATTCTTTCATTCTCTGATTTGCTCAGGCTGTCAACAGATGTTCATTGAGTAACATAGGTTTACCCAAGTCTGAGGAGTTTTCTGGAGTGCAGGACTTTCAGTGCAAAAACTTAAACCGACCTGGGCAAACCTGGACCATTGTGGGTCACCTTAATGTGTTTTAGAGGGTAAGGTTATACGAAAGTGAATAAGACAGTCTCTGCTCAGAAAAAACTGAGTCTGTAGCCTTGGAACATTGCCAGGTAGGACACTGGTAGGAGGACAGTAAGGTAGACTTGCCAGGTGGAAACATTGCCAGGAGGACAGCAAGCGATGGCACACGTTACAAGAGGCAACCTGACCTTTTCACGCATTTTTGCTGATAATTCCTGCCAGAGGAAGAGCAGGTGTCTATGCCATTAGTAAATGTCTGGTTCTAGGACTGTCTTGGAAAGCCTATAAATAAGGAAATATCTGCCTTCCTATTGGCCCAATTTAGCTCTTGATTTATTGAAAGAACAACCAATGGGTTACATTTTTACATATTAAAATTGCTTCTGTCAATGCAGGCATTTGTGTCCTCCTGAAAATGCTAAGACTTCCTAATATTTTAGTTTGCCATCTGTGGGTTTAAACACAATACCATATTCTTCAAATCAGTGAATTTCCTAAATCATAGCAAATGTGGGGTGTTAAAAGTAAAATTTTATAGCTATAAGGAGGAAACTGCCTATTTGCTGTGATTTTTTTTGTTTTTGAGAAGCATATATTGAAAGAACTACAAAATCAGAATTAATTTGGTTCATTTAACATAATCCATTGTGAAATAAATGTTTAGTTAATTAAGAACACAGTTAGAAGGAATCTAATATTCATTTCCTGTTATTTTTTAGTAATTGCGTTTCATCAGAAACCAGATTTAACTTTTGTATCAGAAACCAGATTTAACTTATGCATTTGTACATGTACCTCTATTAATAAGCCATTTGTTCACATTTGGTTTTTAGTATCTTATTATTTCTTTTTATTAATAATAACTTAAGCCCAGGTCTAAAAGTAATGAATGATTAGCAGAATTTAAGAGTAAATTCTTACCTGTTTTATAGTGATCGTGCCTTTGGCTTCTTTCAGAAATTAGCTATTATGATGAACTATGTACAACAATGGCCGAGGAACTGAATGCTGTCATTGTCTCCATTGAGTAAGTAATTAACCTGAGTCATATCATTTAATCATTATTATTATTATTATTATTATGTGGATCCTAGATAACTGTTCAGTTTGTTTATTTTACAAGTGATAAAATAAAGTGTAAAATAAAAGCCTGGTGAGGTGAAGTGATTTGCTCAACATCACTCACATAACCAGAAAAACATATTTCAGATATAATTTAAAATTTTTTCAACTATCTTTATAATTTCTTTAATTATTTTTTCATACTAGTTTTGGAAACTTTTGGAAAAGGATTTAACTGAAAGTGAGTTACCTGCAATATGTAAGTTTGACTACTGCCTTTTTAATCTAAAAGGCAATCGGGGTTTCGAGAGAAGAGTTGGAAAAGTTATGACCTTGGAGTCAGGTTCTATGACTTGGACCTTGTGGATAGTAATAAATGTTCAATAAGTTCTAGTTGATATAAGGTATTATTACTGCCATCAGTAGTAGTATGAATATTAATGTTTTAAGCTGTCTCCACTAGTTCTGAATTAGCCACTTTTCTGGTCAACTAAGAATGAGAATAATAATTATAATAACTGTGGTGACAGTAATAATTCAAAAGTCATGGTTCCTGTTCTGTGCCAGGCTGCTTTTGCATTCATTGTCTCATATCTTTCAGGTCTTAACTCCAGTATTTAAAATTAGAACTATGCTCCTTCTGGAGCTCTGGTGGCACAGTGGGTCAGGCAATTGGCTGCTAGCCAAAAGGTCAGCAGTTCGAACCCACTAGCCACACCATGGGAGAAAGACGAGGCAGTCTGCTCCTGTGAAGAGTTACAGCCCTGGAAACCCTATGGGGCAGTTCTACTCTTACAGGGTCATTGTGAATCACAGATGATGGCAGTGGGTTTGGTTTATGCTCTCTCTACTTTTTTTTCTTTCCAAAGCCCTCATTAGTATCTGACAGACTATATACTTAACTTATTTATGTCTTAATTGTCATGAGCAGAGATAGACAATGCAGCTCCATGAAGGCAAGGATTTTAGGAATTTTTGTCTATTTTTTTCATTGCTGAACCATTAGTCCCTAGATACATCCCTGGCACATAGTTAGCCTTCAATGAATATTTGTAGAATCAGTGAATGAATGAAGAATCCCACTTAATTCTCATACAAGCCTTCCAAGATATATATTTTGACATCCTCCTCATAAATGAGAAAATTGAGGCTCTAAGAAGTTGAGTAACCTGCATATGGTCACATAGCTAGTAGCGATGAAGTGGGAATTTGGGGTTTTAAATCCAGTATCAAGTCAGTATTGGAGAAAGCTAATGATGTTGAGTGACAGGGCTGTGGCCACCACAGACACTGTCTATACCCTGAGCTCATCTAGTACTTTCCTTCCCTCTGCCCCGTCTGTCGGCTGTCCCCCTTGCCCGCCTCCCCCTTCATGGCTTATCTCCTCCTTGCCCCTACTCCAGATCTGGGATCTAAGAGAATTATTTCTTCTGTGGTCTCTAGCAATGGCTGGTCTCCAGAGTTGTCCACGCAGCTCTGACCCTGTGAACAGAAGCCCTTACAGTCATACAAGAGGCACTGAGGCTGCCTCCTCAGTGTGGATTCAGTGTCAGATGACCCTGGGCAGCTCCCCAGGCTTCCCTGGACCCTCAGCCAGACTTCCAACAAGCAAGGGCTCTCAGGGCAGTTTTTTAATGCAAGAAACTTCAAGTAAAAGATTGCGTCAACTAGCCTGGGCATAGGCCAGAAAAAATAGGGCCAGTTAAGCAGCTGCCACCTCGCTGTAGAACAATTCCCTACTACTCAGTGCCGTGGGACCAGCTTCAGGGCCCCTTCAGTGGTTTCCTGTGTAACTTCAGCTTTTCACAGGCCTGAGAAAAGGGGGAGGGTTGGGCTTGCTTGAGTTAGCACCACCACGATTCACCACTCACCCATGTAGGCCTCACCCTCCAGGACTTCAGTCCCAGTAGCTGGCCTTAGCTCTTCCTAACTGCTCTTCTCTACCTGTTAGCATCTGCCTCAAGGAAAACAAGTAGGTGTTCTTCTAACTCAAGGTTTATCATAAAACATAGAAGAATGGAGTTTTAATTTCCTAGTGCTGGTATAACAGAAATACCAAAGTAGGTGGCTTTAAAAATCAGAAATACAGTCTCACAGTTCTGGAGGCTGAAAATTCAAATCAGGATCTTGGCTATGATGATTCCTTTCTTGTAGGTAGTTCTGAGCATTCCTTGATTCCTTGGCTTGTAGGCAGTCCTCACGTGGCATCAGACCTGACCACATGCAACCCCTCCACCGTGTGTGCATATCTTAGTGTTTAATTTGCTCTTTTTTTTTTTTTTTTAAACTCAGAAATGACTAGATTTAGAACTCACCCTATTTGAATATACTCTAATTCATCTAACAAAGAAAACCCTCTTTTCAAACAGGATTACATCTGCAGGTATAGGGGTTAGGATTCCAACACATATCTGGAACAGTTTAATCTATAACAGTCTATTCCTAGGCTCCCCAATATTTGTGCCTTTTCCACATGCAAAACATTCACTCTATCAGAGATGGATTAGATATATTTAAGAAGTGGTTTTTTAGTTTGGTTTTGTTTTAAAGTACTGAAACATAGAAGAGGCTGCTTTACTCTTATCCTTCCATTGTGCCTAATGTAGCAACTAGAAATTTATCAGCTGGGAGGCATCACAGTGTAGCAGTTAAGTACCATCACTTACAGACTGTGTGACTTTAGACATGCCACTTAGTCTCACTTGCAAAATGGGCTTAGCAGTTTTCTGGAATGTTAGCTACTGGGAATAAAAATCATGTCTTACTGCCATTGGCTTCCCAGCACACAAGGCAAGGCTGACAACGCACATGCTAAGTAAATATATTTTGAGTTGGATTGATGACTTCAGAGTTTGATTCAGTAATTGAGATAAAAGGCGTCAGATACTCTAAAAATTTAGGCAGGCTGTAGTGCGCTATCCCATAGAACAGAAAGGTTCAACTTGTAAATACACTTATCAGTGTGGGTTTGGAATGACAGGCAACACATTTCTTTGCAGAATTAACGAGATATGGCAGTTAGGATTCCAGGCCAGCCCACAAAACACCATATAACCTATGCTCTAGTTGAAACATAGTCAACATCATATGATTGTGATACATTTCTTGGAAAGTATATTCAGAAGTCTAACTTGGGAACATATTTGTTCTCATTGCTTGCCTCTCTCCTCTTTCTTTTATTCCATAAAAACGTATAGAATTCTGTTATATGCCACCTACTATGTTAAATTCTGATGGCGTTGTAATACAGACATAATTCCTGCTTTCATAGAGTTTACAATCTAGATTTAAACAAACAACTAACCTTAAATAAGTAAATTTAAGTGTGGTATGTGATGGAAAGTAGGAGGGTAAGTGATAGGGTAGGCATTTGATGGGTAAGATCTTACCTTGTTTGAAGGATCAGAAAAAGTGTCTTAAAGAAAGTGATGTTTGAAATTAGCCTTAAGGATGTGCATAATCTAGTTAGACAAAGTGAGTTGATCCTGGGAGTCTGAAATGATGTCATAAGAGGGTTTGGGAGGGAGGGGAGAAGGCATTAAGGGAGTGAAGTATCAGAGAAGACTAATGAAAGGACTTATGCTTCCTGTGATGCCTGAAGAAAATAGATAAGGGTGGATGATCCTGAGAGTGTGCAGGAGGATGGTGGAACCTTGGCCTCCTGAGATTCTACCTTCTCCTGGCAGGCTGGCTGTCAGGGCCCGCTGTTCCTGGTCCTCAAGGCCCATAGGAGGAGGTGGTGGAGCCATGGCTTTGCTTCATGTAGGATGTGGCCTTGAGGAAGGTTATGATTTGAGAAGGAGGCTGAAAAGATTTGGGGGCAGCCCTAGTAATGGAATCAACACCCATGAAATGGATATAGGAATTGGAACTCCTTTGTTCATGTCACTGCTGCTGGCTCAAAGGTCAGTGGCTTCTACAGTACTCTGCTACTTTTACATATTACTTGCATAATAAGTATTTGTTAAATAAAGTTAAAAAATGCATGCATGTATCTTTATTTATATAATCTAAAAAAAACCCAAACTCACTGCTGTGGAGTCGGTTCTGACTCAGCAACCTCTCCTTGGGTTTCTGAAGCTGTATCTCTACAGAAGATTGCCCAGTCTTCCTTCCAATGCGTGGCTGATGGGTTTGAACTGCCAGCCTTCTGGTTAGAAGTCAAGTGCCTTAGGCACTACACCATGAGAGCTCCTATGTAATCTTGTTGTTGTTGTCATGTGTGGTTGAATTGGACCCAACTCATAGTGACCCCTCCTTGGGTTTCCAAGGCAGTATCACTACAGAAGTAGATTGCCCAACCTTCCTTCTGAGGAGTGGCTGGTGGGTTTGAACCACCAGCCTTCTGGTTAGCAGTCAAGTGCCTTAGGCACTATGCTACCAGAGATCCCATATATAATCGAGGGAAGTCTTTCTTATTTTATATTCATAAATTTTAATGCAGTTTAACAACAATATGGTAACCTTTTAACTTCTATTCTCTGTAATAAAACACAATGTTAGAACTACAAGACATAAGAGAATAGGAAGATTTAATTTCTCTCTTTAAGGTAAAATACATGTTAATAACAAAATGGGTAAGTTGAATATTATTAAATTCTACAGTGTATTTACCTTGCTTTTTTCTGTTTGGAAAACAGGTTTAAATTGTATTTTCCTTTTAATTAAATCTTTACTATCCTCATAAACTCTCGATTCCATGTAGAAACCTTAGAACTATTCCCATTCCACCTTACATAGAGAATTTAAAATTTTACAGGGATATAAAGAAGAATGTTGCTAACGTAGACAACAAAGAAGCTGAAGTGCTTATCTTAGTTTTGCTGCTAGCAGAGTTTTATAAGCAAAGGACCATTTATGCCTCCATCTTTTTCATCCATAAAATTAGATGAGTGCTAGCTGACAAAACCACAGTGCTTTTATTAGACTCAATACAACACACATTTTATTGTAAATATAAGACAC